TGTGGTGGCCCGGCGGGGGCGTCTTGGGGCTGCGGCTCGTGCGGAGGGCAGCCGAGGCTGCTGGCCCCACCTGCGTCAAGCTGGGCCAGTGGGCCAGCACCCGGAGGGACCTCTTCTCTGAGGCCTTCTGCGATGAGTTTTCCAAGCTGCACGTTGAGGTGAGCCCACACCCATGGGGCCACACTGATGAGCTCCTGAGGAAGGCCTTCGGTGAGGACTGGATGGGCATCCTCAAGTTCCAAAGCCAGGAGCCTGTCGGCTCGGGCTGTGTTGCCCAGGTATATAAAGCCTACGCTGACCTCACAGCTATTGCTGGCTCACAGGCTGAGGAGCTAACGCAACGCTCAGAGTTACGGTCAGCTTTTGAAGCGTGGGAGGTGTCAGGCTTTGGAGGTCTCCTCAGGTGGCTGAGGAGGAGGAAGACCGAGGAGATGCAGGATAAGAGGAGCAGGGAGGAGCTGAGCCCTGCAGACTGCTCCCGGGGAGGTCCTGTGAGGAGGATGTCCCTTATGGAGCAGATGGCCAACCCACTCCTGAATGCAAATCCTTCATCACCCAGACATCTCACTCCTGTAGCCATTAAAGTAAGTCATATGTCTGGCTGGTAGGTATGTGAAAATGTAGTGTGCTGGATGAGGCCGATCAGATTTTAATTCCTGTGGAGATGAGTAGCTGGCTAGGGCCAGGTAGAGTGAGAGAAATGCTGCTCATCATCCTTGGTATCTTTTCTCAGCGCTTTAGTTCCAGCCAGCTGCAACCCAGACTTGCGATGGCCACAGCTCTTCCCAGCCCAGAGAGCCTGAGTATGCATACAGCCTATGGCACCTTTGACGTGGCATGTGGATACCAGAAATGCCTGCAAGGGCCCAGTTTATATTAACATAATTAATATTAAGCTTGGTTTCGCCTTCCAGAAAATGAAACCCCTTCTCTCCTCACACGAAGAAATCTGGAACAGATAAGTTCTTTCCAGCAAAGTTTATTTAAGGAAGTCTTACATTTGAGCTGTTCCAAATGCTAGTCAGTACTGCGTGGCACAGAGAGGGCCGGAGTGCAAAAGCAATGGAAAACAGCATTGGATGAGAATGTAGGCTCCAGCATAGATATATTCCATTTGAAAATTATAATGTGTTTCTTTACAGCTTAATCCATGGCAAAACATGAATTCTTCTGAGGACTAGCTGGGGAAGCCTTGTTAGCTCCCAGTTTTATAGGCTAGTTTCTGTCTATTTGGAATGCATCGCTTTAGCTGATTGAAATGGGCTGGTCTCTTTACAGTACTGGGGAGTTGATCATGCCACCCTTAATTCTTGCACAGGTCCTGCACCCTGGGCTAGTCCACCAAGTCCAGATGGATCTGTTTCTCATGAAGATGGGTAGCCACATCATTGGACTTCTCCCTGGATTCAAGTGGCTCAGTTTGACAGAGATTGTGGAGGAGTTTGAGAAGCTTATGATTCAGCAGGTGCGTGCTGTGCTGTGCCATGCCATGCCATGGTCCCCATGTACTGAAACAAGGCTACCGTTTGTCTTGCTACAGCTGGCTCTAACTGTTCATACCGCTACTTTTTAAAGGATTAGATGAAGGCTTACTTATTCTTTATTCTAAGCGGTTGTATAATGTTACTGTAGGAAAGCTTATATGTTCACAGAGTAAAAAAAGCAAAGCAATGGAAAAAACCTTAACAATCCTTATTAGATTTAAAAATTTTTTTTAGACTTTGAGTATGTTTTCTAGTGAACAGCCTGAACAGCTAGCTAGCCATAGTCACAATCCTTTTTGCAGCATTGTGAAAGATGAACACTGATGAGAGGCCTCTCCTTAGGACAAGAATCTCTCCAAACAAGTGCTCAGATGTGTGGTTTTTCTCTTTAGTCCTACAGATATGTTTGCAGCCTGTAGTCACTGGTAACATTTGTTAGCACAGAGGTGTATATATATTGGCATAACTAATACTTTCACATAAGTTAATAATACATGCTATATTGTATTGTCATCAGACTCACAGTATCGGTAAAGTTGAGCTTTTGCAAATAAATCTGAAAACACGTCCTGATTTACTAATGTCTTCTAAAGACAAGGTCCTGAAACGTCCTTACTGCCAAACTTACAAAGATTTCACTACAGGCTTAATTACGCTTATGCTTCTGTTAAAATGAACCATTATCTGCTAGTTTCATTTTTGTGTCTAGATTGCAGAGTCTGAAGTCTGTTATAAGCTTTTGAAAGCCTGAATTCTCTTCTATTACTGCAAAAAATTTACACAGTAAATCCATGTTATAAAGTGTTGACTAGTCGGATGTGACTTGAGGTCATTAATAGCAGTTTAGTCTGGCAGAGCTTTTGGTGGATGCGCTGAAGTCTGAGGATTAGGAGAGCATCCGATAGGCTTGTTGTAATTTCCTTTCATTTCTCTTAGAAAGACCAAGAAGTATTCCTGGGATATTTCCCCTTTCCAGGTGAGGGAGGTGAGGCAAGGTTATCCTGCCTCCTTGAGCAGGAGCAGCAAAGGGCAGGAGAGATATCAAGGCAATGGATCACAGAAGGGTTAGGGCCAGGACTTTGCATAGTCAATTGTTTTGTTACGTGACGTTAAATGTCTTCCTGCTATGACTGCCTGTCTGTAAAGTGAGGCTAAGGCTCCAGTTCTACCCTGTGTGCCTGCCTTGCTATTTGGACGGTAAGCTTTGGTTCAGGGTCTGCTATACCCTTGAAGATAATGCAGTCCTGGTCTTTTTTGAGACACCATGCCTATGGTAAGAGTTGCCCATATTTTGGAGATGCTGGGTTGTGGGCCATTTGTTACCCGGTCTGTTACTCTGCTCTTCCATCAGGAAAGCTATAAGCATGTAAGAAGCACCACTCTATTTTGTTTTCATTCTGGCTTTCTGACAAGTTTTGTTGGTATTGAGTATTGCACCACGCAGTCATATCCTCATACAGAATCCTGAAGATCTAATTCTAACTGAATCTAATTTCTAACCTGCTTTCTCTTTTTCTCCTTTGAGATTGACTTGCGCTATGAAGCCAGAAATCTGGAGCGCTTCCGACAAAATTTCCTGGATGTCGATTTTGTGAAGTTTCCAACTCCCCTTTGGCCTTTGGTAACGACAGATGTTCTAGTGGAAACATTTGAGGTAAGAATCGCAGGGTCTGGGAGTAGTGGTAACAGTGAGAAGGCCCTTGGGAGAACAGGCCAAGGAGGTGTTTCTTTGAGAAGGAGTGATCAGAGGCAGAAGGATGCTTTTCTCTTGTTTTGTTAGAGATCGGTGTCCTTCGTCAGCGTCTCTTCCACTCTTTGTTTGTAAGCAGTGCACCCCAGAAGACAGGTGGCAGACTACTCCATATAGAAGTGAACACTTGGCCTGAAACCAAGCGGATCAGCAGTGTGCCCAGCAACCACGTGCTTGCCTGTGCTTTGCAAACCAACTCTCCTCTGTGGTGGGTCAAAGCAAGGAGCTCAGCAATCTGACACTTTCTGATGCTTGCCTCACTTCCCTTGTGGATGTTTGAGTCACAGACCAAAGCTACTCTCAGCCTTTGTTTTCATGCATGTGATCCCAGCAAGAGTATCTCTGCACCAGGCTATATTGCACCCTCTTTCCAAAGAAGAAACCTTTGCTTCTCTCATGTTCTCCATCACATTAGGTACAGCCTCTTTCGAGCAGGTCCTTGCTCGGGTACTGTTATCAGCTTCCCTCCGCTCTCGGCACCTAGGTAAAGGTGTGGCTGAAGGTGGGACCCAGGGTGTGTTTGACTCCAGCTCCATCTTTATTTCAGGAGAGTGAGCCTATTTCGCACTACCTGCACGCGGAGGTTGCCACAGAGCTGAGGCAGAGACTTGCAAAGATGGGCATGGACATGCTGCTAAAGATGGTATGCGCTTGGCTGAGGCTGGAAGCGAAGGCTGTTTTCCTGCAGAAGCTATTCAGTTGGGGTAATAAGACAATATGGCTAAAGAGAGAATCCTTTTGCTTCCCACGTCTCTTACCCTTCTCCCCATGGACTCAAAGATAGAGCTGTGCCTTTTGGAGCCAGCCCGTGGATGCCAGGTGTCTGGCAGTAGCCCAGGACCTGGGCTGCTAGGGCACCGTGCAGCTCCTGAACTGGTGGAGGGAGGGTCTGTACTTTGTGCCCAGTGTAACGCAAGGTCTGAGTAGAGCCTGGGCTAGATGCACCGCTATGGTAGACTTTGACACAGAGCTTCCCTTGCTGCAGAAGGGCCATCTGCTTGCGCAGAGTAGGGTTTCCTGTGCAACTTGATCAGTGCATTGCTTAGGAAACCCAATAATCCATTTAATGAATATTCACATATTGCCCAAGTTCTATAAAGTGCGATGTAATTAGCAAATATCATGCTCTCTGCAGAGACCATGGATGTGACTCAAAGGGTGGCTATTTTTTTCATTTATTGACCCCTCCTCCAAAAAAATGCCTTTTTTTAAAGGAAGAACTAAATGTGGAATAAAGAAAACAAACCTGGCCAGATTCAGATTCAGCTTATGATTCAGCTTCTGGCTGTCTAGTTCTTTTGTGGTCAAGACAATCACAAATTATCTGGAAAGGAGTGTTGGGAGGTGACGCAATTGGCTTGTGAGGAGCCATGAGAACTAGCGGGGAATTGCAAAAGGACCCCACAGCACTGAGGGTGTGGGCAGTAAGTGTTGGATGAAATTCAGCTGATAGCTGCAACATCATGCTAGGGCAATGGTGAAGCCCTCAATTCTGACTCCAGATAGTATGACAGACTCTGAAATAGCTTTTCCCACTCAGAAAAGCAATGGTGGAGCTGTAGTAGTTTTATGCTAACATTAGATTCAGTGGTTAGGAGTAAAGCAAAACCCCAAATTTTAGGAGTAGAAAAGAATTAAAGAGCTAAGAAACAACATAATGGCTGTAAATAAAACAAATACCTGTTTCTTGAATACTCTGTGCAGTTCTAGTCCTGTGCTGTCCAGGACCCTCTGTTTCAAGGGCTGTAATAGAACTAGAAGAGGTGCAGAGGAAGGCAGCCAGGATGATTACTGGTGTGGAATCGCTTCCATACAGGAATGGTGAAATAATTTGGACTCATAACTCCAAAGAGCAGAGAAATGAGAGTAGCTTATGACAGAGATATAAGCAGTCATGGATACACGAAACTGAATGTGGATCTGTTGTGTGGCATTTATCAGAACAATGAGGAGGATGGAAGCAAAATTATCAGAGGTCATTTTTCCAGGCAACACCTAAAAAATGTCCCTTTTTCACACAGCTCTAATTATTTACATGGCAATTGGACAAATTTGTAGGAGAAATCCATCAAATACAAAGATAGCCTCCTTGGGGCAGGAAGTCCTGCAGTCCCAGGTTGCCAGGAGACATGGGGAAGCACTACCTTGTGCTTGCCCTCTTGCTAGTCCTTTCTGCTACTAACCCTAGTAGAGGCAGAGAAGTGCTACATACATTTGTTTCCTCCTCTTTTGTTTTCCTTGCCTTTCAATACAGTTGTAATGTGGGTTGATGTCCCAGACTAGCCAAACTTAACTGTTCTCTATAACCCATGCCAGTGAATGGAAAATGGCCTATTCTTACTGCACTACTCTTTGCCAAGGCCCACCAGCATGCATCCAGTTTAGGGTTAGTTGCCAAAGAGCACTACCGTTCCCTGCTGGGACTCCTGGCTGTCCTACCTGACCTGTAGGAAACACACAGGGCTGCTTCACACAGCCCTGCTGACTCCCCTAGAGTGAGTAGCACCCGAGCCATTTCTGCACAGCTGGTTTCCAGCAGAAGCCATTTGATGTGTTGCTGACTAGGGTGATGCACGTTAGGAATGATGGTGAACAGACCAGAAATGAACCTCTGCTATTTGCCTGGGAGTTTTGGAGTGGGCAGGTTTGGTTGGAATGAGCTGCTCTAAGACTTGCCTGTCTTCTAGGTCTTTGTTGACAACTTTGTCCATGCTGACCTGCACCCTGGGAACATCCTGGTTCAAGGCACTGCCCACATCAGCACCAGCTGCAAGGAGCAGACAGCCATTGTGGACCTGTGTGACACGCTTGTTGTGGAAGTGCAGCCGCCCCTCAGGCAGCTCTGCCTGGTGCTGCTGGACGCGGGGATCGTGGCAGAGCTGCAGAGCGCCGACATGCAGAACTTCCGGGCGGTTTTCACAGCTGTGGTCCAGGGCCAGGTGAGGCATCTGTCATGGGGCTGTGGCGCTGAGGCTGGGGAAGGGAGACAGCTGAAGAGTCTGATGGCTGAAGTGATAGGTTTTCTCCCTATTTCCTCTTGCAATCCTCCCTAAGAGGGGAGAGAAGACTTGCTAGTGTGGAAGCTGTACCAGACACAGGGATAAGATGTTCAGCTACAGCAAGGAGGCTGCCAGAGTGGAGCAATTTCAGTGGTCCAGGATGGGAGTGCTTCTGATGCAAGTCAGGGCTGCCTGGGAGCCACTCGCATTTCAGAGACTGTTGCAGAACCTGCCAGATTTTGCTAGAGAAGAGGAGGGAATGGATTAACATCTTGGTCTTCCACACATGTTCCCTTCTGCAGCCTTGCTGCTGGGAAGCCCGTATACCATCCTCCATTTTGCTGTTGTGTCAGTGTCTGTAGAGAAGAGGAAGCAAAACAGGTGCGGGTGTGGGGGGGTGCTGACCTCTGCCAGGCTCCTCTGCATAAGGGGAACTACTTTATCATCCTTCCCACTCATTTAAAATACACTCTCAGTTGGATGAGAGAATCCAGTGTTGATGTCTGCTGCTCATTCTGAGAACAAGCATCAGTGCTCATACTTGCACGTTGCTGTTTCTCAGCTGTGAGTTGGATGGATCACCAGCATATCTCAGGAGGGACACATTTTAACTTGATCTGTTTAATGTGCCGAAGCATACCGAGGAGTCAGTGCTAAACTGTGTATTCAAGCCCATCCTGTACTGGCAGGCTTACTTCTCAGCTAATAAGCAAAAACTGCAAACACTTGATTGCAAGTCCTTCATGGCTCAGGCTGGGTGTAATTCATCATCTACAGGTGAAAAACTTCTATACATTGACGAACCCAGGGCCTCTGGCTCTGTACATTGCTGTGAGACGCATCTTCCAAGAAGAGCTATAAAGCCTCTCAAGTGAATCTTGGGGTGTGGCTCCCCCCCTTTCTCACCAAATATCTGCTGGTGTAGAATCAGCTCACTCTTCCTCCACAGTTTGCAAATGGAAGGTTGGACTTAGCCCATAAGGGAGGTTAATAGATGCCCTTCTTTATGCCATTATCTCCTCTGCTAAGAAGAAAATGCTGGTCCTGTGGGTTTTATTTTTCCCCCTGAAACTTCTCCTGACTGCCTGAGAGGTATCTTTGTGGTGTTCTACCCTACAAGACCTGCAAGAAAAATAAGCAGAGTTTTTCCAGCTATCAGCTAAGATTTTTGGACCAGTTCTGCTCTTCATGCACCTGCTTTTGTTGATCTGTTGGGTCTCAATTGCTGGAATGGGAAAGCATGGCCCTAGGAGTTCTCCCTGCAGTAATGCCTCCTCCAGGGACAATGATGTGCAGCTCCCTGTAGGCTTGCTGGCACCTGTTATCAAGTCCTGATTCTCCTTTTCAACTTGTTTGACAGGGAGAGAGAGTGGCAGAACTGATCCTTCATCACGCCCGTGCTAACCAGTGCCAGGATATCGAGCGATTCAAAGCCGAGATGGCGGAACTAGTGACCAAGGTCCGGGGGAACACCATTGCCCTAGGAAAGGCAAGTTCACAATGTCCCACCCTCACTTCCGTGCAATTCATTGCAACTTGACTTTTGGAGTGATCCATGTGGAAAGGTCAGCTCCGGCCTTAGCACTGCCAACCAGTACAGGGCACTTTTAGTCTCTCAGGTGCAGCAAAACTCCTTAAATCCTTTCTTATTTACTTCTAATTAAAAAAGCATGTGTGTGTTTGGTTTTTTGGGTTTGTTTTTTTCTTAAGTCTTTAACATCTGCAATTCCCTGTGAGGAGTTGCTGAGCCTGATGTTACAGCTTGCATCCTGTTAGCTAAGGCCAGCTTGGGCACTTCAGAGTGTAGTATGGTGGAATTGAGCAAATTAATGCATGTTGTGTACTGCTGTGGGGTCAGACATTCTCAGCATTCCTGGGCTGGCAAGTAAGCAGAACCAAGGGTCACAGCTGAACTCCTTATCCCGGGCAGGGTGGAGGGCATCACACCTTGATGTTGGCTGTTGTCAGCACAGTAAATAATCTTGTCCCACCACTAGAACTGGATGCTAACAAACACTCAGAAGAATCCTGCCTGTCACTTATGCAGCTCAGTCTTCTTGACCACAGGTTTTTTGTGATCAGCTGTTAACTGCTCCTTTTGTATTCCAGCTTCAGGTGGCAAATCTCCTCTCCAATGTCTTTAAACTATTGATGACCCATAAGGTGAGGTCCTGTCACTGTCTGCCTTCACTAGCTGGAAGCTCTTTTGGGGAGGGAGAACTACTGGGAACATGAAGGGCCAAAAAGGAGGGGGAGTGACTTCTGAAACGAGCTGCTAGGAGGGGGACTGCAGGGATGCATCCAAGCGTCCTAGGCATGCTGTTTCTCAGGTCTTGATACACACCCTACCAAGACTAATTTCTGTTTTGTTGGGTTTTGTCTTAGTACTGCATTTACTGGTTGATATTATTTACTAAAACGAATGTTTCTGTAACACATAATTTTTCCCTATCTTTTTTATAGTCCCTTAGAAGCAGAAAATGAAATCTAATGTATGTTTCACTTGTATATCATTGCATGTTGTCTGCCCTGGACCTCTTTCTTGATACACAACAGCACTAGGCCATTTTACTGGCTTGTTAGAGGTCTCAAAAGTGAGAAGTTATTCACAGGACAGAGATTCCTTCTTATAACTGATAGCATTTGGGGGCCAAGTTTCCATGGTTGCAAACAACTTTGGAACAACAGAGCTATGGTGGCCTGAACTGGAGGAGATGAGAAGATTGTCAGCCAGAGGGCTGCCCAGCCTGCAAAGGGGCCCTCTAAATGTTCCTTAGTTAAGAGGCTTTTGTCATTAGGCTTCATGTAAGCTGGTTTCTAATAACGTAAAATGTAATTTAGGCCCTAACAAAGCAAGTCCTCCCAACTCCATGATTTCTTAATGCCCCGGTATGCCTCGAAACAATCCTCATGCCTGGCTGGGAATTCAAGAGTAGTTTGTTCACATGTAGAGCAGAGGATGGTTATCTCTGTGATCTGTGGGGGTCTTTTGTGCCCATTCAGAAAGTGAGCTCTGCCTTACAGGAGTGCATGTATTCAAGTGTGTTGGATACTACTACAGCTTATAACTACATTAGCAATGGTGAGCACTCCTAAGCTCTTGCTATTCCAGTATGAAAGAAAAAAAACTAACATTCCCCTTCTTGGAACTGAAAAGCAAACTTGAGTCCCCTTAGGGCACTTACCCTGAAACTGTAATCTTATTTTTGGGCCTGCTGCTGGATTTCAGTGAGTTCTGAAAGTACAGTTGCAGGTGTGTGTATGCTCTCCCCAGCCTCTTCCCTTCCCTCGCAGCTTAGCCAATGCTGGTACCTCTGTGGAGTAGGCTCAGCAGCAAATAAGGTCCGCTGAGTCCATTTAGTCTCTTGTGGTTCTAGGTGAAGCTTGAGAGCAATTTTGCTTCCATCATCTTTGCCATCATGGTGCTGGAAGGTCTTGGTCGTTCGCTGGACCCTGAACTGGACATCCTAGAGGCAGCTAAACCACTGCTCATCAAAACTGCAGCTTCTGTCCTCAAATAGACTCTTGTGGCTGCTGCCCTCGCGCTGGGCAGGGTTACCTATGCTGCCTGTGAACTGAGAGAGAAAGAAGCGGAGGTGAGGCATGTGCATCTTGGGGGGGTTGCTCTCCATTAATGTTGCCTTCAGTTGTTTCAGCCAAGCAGCAGGCATGGGATGATGAGGTCTGTTCCAGAAATCAGGAAGACTTTGCACAATTGCAGATTTCTGACTCATATGCAGTTCTAAGAGCTGATGTGCTCTGGTAGTTTTTAAACTGACATATCATGTAGTTTAGGTCCACAAGATCACTGCAGCCTGATGAGAAAAGCAGTCTTGTCTAAAAGCCTTTAAAAAGATGTTCATTGATCAAGTCTGTTTTGAAATATGTCAGGTTAAATATTTAAAATTAATTTACTGACTTATCTGTCACTGTGGTATGAGAAATGATGTTCTGACACCACCCAAGCACCTAATTCAGGGTGGAGAAAAAGGCAATAAACCATTTTGTCTTTTTTTTTTTACTTTTAACTTCTACTTTTATTGTAGAAGTGTCTCGAGATCCTGCATAGAGTGGTCTGTTCTTAGTCATTTGGGATCATAAAAACAGACCAGTCCATTTGATTTTTTTTTTTCAAACTTCCATACTCTAGCACAATACTATAGGAGTTTGGATTATAGACAGCAAAAGAAAATATTTGCCTAGGCAGAAAACCTAATTCCATAATAAAAAACCACTTTTGGGAATATTTGTACTGGTGTTAGTCTTTTTTTTCCTGAAGCTTAAAAAGTATGTTTTTTTCTTTTTCTCTGTGTGCTTCTTTCCTACTACCCTCACCCCTGCTCCCCTAGTCTCCCCCTACTCAACTCAAAATCTTAACAATATGCAAATTCTTGGGTTTTGTTTCCAGTAGTTTGCAAAACAAGGAGTCTGAGAATTTTCCTAATGGGCGGAAAACACGCTGTGAATGTTTAAAATTAAATAAAGCCAGCAAAAGAGCTAAACCATACATGGCTTTTACTGTCAGTTATTTTAATAGTAGTATTAAAATTATTTTATGGCTCTATTTTAATAGTGAGAAATGCAGTCTATGAATGATTGGAAATAATGTAAGGCTAAATCTATTCCCAGATATACTGTATGTGAAACTGCAGCAGCACAGGGTGCCTGCAGTAGTCTGTTCTCAGATGGTTAAGCAATGAAGAGAAAGCACATGAGCAGACAATCTGCTGGTTTATGGTGATTATAAAATAAAGATTAATGGCATATAAATGAACTCTGAAAAATAAGTTAAGATTCTGCTCAATATATTTCATGTACTTCCCTTTAATCGTTATGTATTCCATTTCTAAATGCTTAAGGATAAAAGCAGCAGTAGAGTTGAATAGCTTTTAAGTTTTAGGCTTGTTTCTGTAAGTCTACTTAGACTTAAGCTCATAACTAGGTACGCTGTTGTCCTAACTAGCACATGAGTTGGCATGAAAAAGAACTCAAAAAAGAAGAAAAGCAAGCAACCCCCAAACTTCACATTATAGAAAATCTCCATATGTGGCCATTTTCTCACTCCCCCCCACCCCGGTAGCAGGCCTGCCCCCTCCCCTTTGCACCCTGCTGGGTTGGAGGTGCCAGGCAGGGCACCCTGTGGCCTGTGCAGCGCGGGGCATGGGCACAGCCCCCTGTGTTCTTCTTGCTGAGCAAATCTCAGCCAATTTTTCCAGAGGCTAAGCAGAGCTTAACCCGAATGACAGAATTCCAGGTCTAAAATGTAAAACTGTGGTTCACGTGTACTTTCTTTATATGAAGCAAGTTATAATTTTTTTCAGACCTTAATTTAAACAAATAAACAAAAGGCAAAGCCTTCACCTTGCATATAGGTTCATCTTTCTTTCCTTTTCCCCCTTTTTTTTTTTTTTTTTTTTAAAAAAAATTTTAGGATGGTTTATGGTTTTTTTGAATC